ATAAATCCGCTGCAGTTGGGAGAAAAGCACCCCTGGCCACCAAGTTCACTGGTATTCCCGGGGCAAATCCAGGTCCAGGAGCACCCCCAGACTGTGGACCCTGTCTCTTAGGGTGCATGATATGATACAAACATGATAATAAGCATCTTCTAACCAGTGATATCTGCAACTGTGTGTGTGCATCTTTGTGTTGAGCAGAATGGACAAAGGCAATAGGGGAAAGCCAGAAGCCAACCTGAGAGCTGCTGGCATCTTATTTGCCTAGTCAGGTTGTTTGCACTTTGGGACTAGACATGCCCAGTCATGGTAGCTGCTTAATGGTTCTGCCCAGGACTGTTTCTCAGATTTTCAGATATGCCCACAGGCCAAAAGATGGCCTACCTCTGATCCAGTTTGAGTTGACTGAAGCTTGTAGTTTTACTGATTAGTGTCTACTTTTGGCTGTACTGAACCGGTGCCTTGCCGAGGTTATTTATTTATTTTTCAATTTATATCCTGCCTTTTTCCTACAAAGGGCTCAAGGCAGCTTACATCATTCTGCTCCTCCATCTTATCCCCACAACAACAGCCCTGTGAGGTAGGTTGGGCTGAGAGTCTGTGACTGGCCCAAAGCCACCCAGTTGGCTCCATGGCTGAGCAGGGACTAGAACCCAGGTCATCTGAGTCCCAGTCCCAGGCTCTTAACCACCACACCACACTGGCTCTCCAGTGTGGCTCTCCAGTGTGCTCTCCACTGTCTCCATTACACTGGTAATGGGCTGGATGAGGGCCAATAAACTGAACCTCAGTCCAGATAAGATGAAAGTCCTGTTGGTGGGCAGTGCGGGTCTCCAGGCAGGTGATTTTGACCCAGTTCTGGACGGGGTAGCACTCCCTCTAAAGGACAGGGTCTGTAGCTTGGGGGTACTCCTTGACCCAGAGCTGTCACTGGAATCCCAGGTGGTGGCGGTGGCAAGGAGTGCTTACCTACAGCTTCGGCTGCTTCACCAGCTGCACCCTTACCTGGACAAGCACTTCCTAGCAACAGTGATTCATGCTCTGGTAACTTCCCGCTTGGGTTACTGCAGCGCTCTACATGAGGCTGCCCTTGAAAACAGTCCGGATACTCCAGCTGGTACAGAGCAGAGCTGCCAGGCTGCTGATGGGGGACCGGCTGTTACTCTCACATAACACCAGTCCTCTATCAGCTCCACTGGCTCCCAGTTGAAGTCCGGGCCCAATTCAAGGTGCTGGTTTTAACCTATAAAGCCCTGAACGGCTTGAGACCAGGATACCTGAAGGAGTGCCACTTTCCCTACATGCCCTCGCACCTCTTAAGCTCTGCGGGAGAGGCTCTGCTCCGGGAGCCCTCTTTAAAGGAGATAAAAAGAACAACTACCCAGAGCACGGCCTTCTCTGCGGTGGCACCCAGGTTATGGAATGCGCTCCCTGGAGAGGTGTGCTTGGCACTGAGTCTATATTCTTTTCAGCACCAGGTTAAAACCTTTTTAATGGCTACTTTAAAAATTATTTTTATCATTAACAGACGCTTTTTTGTTTTTATATAAATTTACTGTATTTGTTACTGTTTTATTGTTTTAATTCTACGTTGTAAGCCGTCCCGAGATGTCGAGGCATGTGGGGATGGCATGTAAAAGTTTTAAATAAATAAATAAATAAATACTTTAAAAAAATTCTAATGATGCAGTTGGGCAAACCATTAGTTTGAGGGAATTCACTTGAAGAAGCCTGCCATTCCTTCTTTGCAAACCAAAATTATTTTTCAAGTGAAATGGTGCTTCATGAAAAGAAGGCTAGTAACAAGCTGCATATTTTACAACTTGAGCAATTGGTCTGTTCACACGAGCAGTGTTTAATGAATGAGGAAATATGTATAAAATTCCAGCAACCAATTTTAAGCAGGAATTTTAATAATTAAAAAAGGTTAATTGTTAGTATTGTATACTTCATGGGGTAGGGCATTTTTGCTGCGGAGCTCCCCCTCTGCAAGAGGCCTTTTTAAAAGGCAGATGTGGAGGTGTGTGTTCCTGTGCAAAGAGGGGGAGAGTGCACCCTCCAAAGAGAGGAAGGAATATCACTGATTGTGATATTATGGGTGCTTTTGAAACTGGGGCAGCAGCACTCTGCAGAGAACTCACTAATGAAATGGCCACATTAGCCACGGCTAGACCCAGCAAACAGAAAGCTAATGGGCAACTGGAGGGAAGTTTCCATTAACAGACACAGCTAACTGGAGGAATATTTGGCCCCCCTCCCTTCCCCCAGTTGACTTTTATTTGTTATCTAGGACATTCAGGACTAGTCTCCAGCTGGAAAAGTTGGAATAAAAAGTGTGCTGAGTCAAGTGACCCCCAACATGTAAAAGCACAAGAGCTGTATCTAGTGACTGCTGGGGATGCTAATGCATAGTTCTAAGGGCAGAACACATACTTTCATGACATCACTGGGATTTTGATCTGTGCTATCACTTTAGTTGCTGTTGATATAATTTTGCACTGAACTCTGGCCCATTTTTCTTTTCAGCTTTTGTCCACAGCATCTTACAGCTAACCTTACATTCCTACTTGATTAAGTTGTTGTTGCACTGTTATCTCTGTTTAGTTTCTCTGTTACATGTCTTTGCAACTCACTTTGTCTTGGCAAGGCTTGAAAGTAGCTTAATATGCAGTGTTCCTTGAGCATGTTTGGCTGCTGGCATGCTGCTCTTTCACTCCATGTTCTGTTCTGACCAACCAGTATTCATTTTGGGAGGGGGGGGGAGGGAGGTGCAGGCAGTATATTTTTTAATTCAGTGGTGTTTGCTTATAATAAAAAGGTTATCAACAAAATATTGCATTCAGGAAGATTCTGGTAGAAATAAATGTCTTTCTGGAAAGATTAATAGCATCCAGATTCTTTGCTTCCATCAGCATATTCATTCCAAGTTAATATTTGGACCTAATTTGCTTTATCTGGTTACATTGCTCTGACCTAACATAGAAAGTGTCAGAGTCCTGCCATCTTAAAGGTGGTGATAGTGTTACGGGTCTGCTTCAGATGCTTGTATCAGTGCCACCAGTTCTGCCATGTCTTGGGGAAGGATTGTTTTGGGACTGTTCTAGTGCTAGTGGCTGCAGTACGAAATGTGCCCAAAACTGTCCGTAACTTGATCTTGTGCAGATACAAGTAGAATATTCTTGCACCTGACATTTAGCTCTCCTAAGGTTTCCAACAGGGATGTGGTGGCACAGTGGGTTAAACCGCTGAGCTGCTGGGCTGCTTGATCGAAAGGTCAACAGTTCGAATGCACAGATGGGGTGAGTTCCCATTGCTCTGTCCCAGCTCCTGCCAACATTGCAGTTCGAAAGCATGCAAATACAAGTAGATAAAAAGGTACCACTTCGGTGGGAAGGTTCTGTGCACTTAGGTGTTGAGTCATGCCAGCCACATGACCACGGAAACTGCAGACAAATGCTGGCTCCCTCAGCTAGGAAACGGAGATGAGCACCGCCCCCTAGAGTCAGACTTAATGTCATGGGGAAACCTTTAAGGTTACCACCACTGGGCTGTTAACTTGCCTGGGGGGTAACTATTCAGTGGGAAGAAATGCTCTGCAGGAAAGGACTTCAAGTTGGCAGGATGGTCTGTCTAGCTTTGATCTACTTGGATTACCTTTACTTTCTCACGCTGGTCGACATCTTAATGATCAAAGATCTTTTATTTGGGTGATTCTTTTCAACAAATGACTGCAGACATGAGACAATAAAGGCAATCGAGTAACATCTAATTTATAGAACAAGCTTTTGGTCAATTTACCACAGAAACACCAAGTTTGTGTTATACTTGAAATGAGTCTTCCACAAGCAGTGTGATCCCATTCCTTTAATTTCAGCTCTGGGGACATCCACAGCCTTTGACCTTCCCGTGGAATCTTTCACTGCTCAAACTTATATGGACTTGCTGTAGAGTTGCATGCTAATTTGGAAGCACATAGACTTGCTACTCAGGGAAAAGCCCATGTGAATGCCTGGAATGGTTTGTCGCTAGTGCTGGTACCCTGTCATCTTTTAAACCTTCCTTACCCGCATGTCACTCTGTACTTGTTTATGCGTCCTGGCAGAAAAAGCAGCACACACACAAGTGGGAAGGCATTAATCACAGGAAGAAAAAAGGGAAGAATGCCAGGTACACAAAGGAAGGTTTATTACAGCTTAGTGCAGTTTGGAATAAATCCATCTTCATGGGCACCCATCAATACTCTTGTCAGTCTGGTCTGTGGACCAGTTTCAGTTTGTTTCAATATAGATTAAAATGGGAAATGAAGCATGTGGTTCAGACATTAGTCTTCCTAGTAACAGATGCTATCACAGCAGTCACTGATGTGTGGCATAAACCCCATTATGTTTTTTATGTTATAAATAACATAGTTGTGAAATTCTCTTGGCTGTCAAATTATATGGATTGATTCTGAAGTCATGATGAACTTTCAGTGTATGTGTCTGAAAGGTAATATTGGGAGGTCGGATCTAATGAGAGCACATGCTTCACTCCTGGGCTTTCTGCACATGTGTAGTACAGAAAATGTGCAACATCATCTTGTGACTGTTGCACATTGTGAATCGGCTACTAACATGTCTAATTCATAAATGGTGTATATTAATACCTTTCCCTACATCTGTGTAAGAAAAACTTGCTGTAAAGTTGTCCTTAGATATATGTGTCCTTGAAAAATGAACAACAGTTTTCATGAGTCTGTTCTTAAAATTTACTTGTTTGCTAGAAAGCAGTTTTTGATTATTAGTTCAGATTCTATTAATGTGACTGCACTGCCTGTTCCCCAGTGTGGCTGCGCTGATTTTTTAAAATTTAACCTGTCCTTTTGGTTTCATGTTGCATGACTCTCTGCCTTATTTTATACATTTCAGTTATCAGATCACATCTTCTGTTGACATTTTGCCTAGCAGTACATCAGTGAATGGAGTTCAGCTCTTAACCACATGTGTCTTCCTTTTTCTTAGCAGGCGCCTCAACAATTCCTTCTCCACCTCCGCCACCAGCAGCTCCCCCACCTCCTCCTAATTTGGATGTGCCAATTCAGCCTGACCCACGGCCTAACAGCACAAGCCGGGGCGCCTTACTTAGTTCCATTCAGAATTTCCAGAAAGGAGCTTTGAAGAAAACAGAAACCTCTGACTACAGTGCTCCCAAAATCAGCTGAAACAGTTTCCAGCACCCAGCTTGGATAGTCTAATTTGTGTTCCAGGAACAACTCTTGTAATAATTTGATTTAACCACTGCCTCTTGGTGGTTTGTTTTACAGATGCCTGTTTAGAGCCATTTCAAGCGGCTTTCCCCCCCTAGAGCAATCTCTTAATTGAGTAGCAGTACTGTATCAGATTACTTTGGCATTTTGGAGGGTGACTTCAGGTTTAAAGGAACTCTTTTACAGAATCTTGTTTTGGGAAGGTAGTGTTTCTTCTAATAGAATAAAAAGAATAGCTCAGCAATGACAATTTATTTCCTAGGATCTGCTTCCAAGGGCTTCTGAAAGTCTAAACCCTGACACATTGATGTTTGATCAATTTAGTTTAGCTATGCTAAAAAAAATCACTTATTCTGAAAGTTAAAACTCTGGTGGAAGACTGAAATCTAATTTTTTCACTTCCTGTGAAGTATTGAGCTGGTCAATGGACTATTCTAATACTTTTGAAGCACCTGTTCATAATCTCGCATGTCCATCCTTGTGAGAATACTATTCAAGACATGACTTTTGGGTTAGCTGGGAACTGAGCTGTTTTTCACTTAGGCGGGAGTTGTAGGGAGTTTCCATTAAACCAAATTTATCATCAATGTGAGATGCATCTTGAACCAGGAGTTTAAAAAAAGTTACTTTTTTGTGACAAATGTCCTTTTTTCTGATTTGTTCAAACCCTTAAACTGCACTTTAAGGATTATTAGTAATCCATTTTTAAAGTCAAGTATACATCAGTGTGTGTTACTATGCAGAGAATATCATTGTGTATAAGAGTTCATGTAACCTGTGATATACTCAAGTCATATTTTTATTAAAATAAATGTCAATAGAACTTCATTGGTGCTGGAAGGGAACAGTGCATCCTAATCACTTAAGTACCATACACTGGGAATGGCAGGTGGGAAATATGGATGCCTTGAAGCTTCAACACTGATTTTGGCCAGTGTCCTAAATTTATGGTTTAGAGTAGTAGTAAAGGAATTAACTGCATTTGCTTTCTTCGTTCAGGAATGCTGAAGGAGTAACAGGAAAAGTGTGGGGGAGTGAGGGATCAGGTTCCCTCTGTGGTGTAGATGAGTCAAAGGTGGGGTTTAATAGTAGGTATATCCCATCTCATTTTCAGACATACGTATGTTCAGTGTAGGGGAGCCTTCTCATCTGCCAAACTGGTGGCCCTGTTTTGTCAAGGTACATCTTACAGCAGGTGTAGAGAACCTGTTTTGGCTTAAGAATCAAATAGGTCCAGGCCAAACCTATTGGGGCTACACATAGCCCAGGAGCCATACAAAGGGCAGACAGCTTCAGTCACTCTCAGATCACCCACCCCCAAAAGCAAGGAAGCTTTCAGAAATTTTAATGGGGGAGGTGTTTGCAGTCATATGGAAGGAACGACTGAACAGGCCTGGGCATCCCTAACACCACCCCCCTCCCAATCCCTTCCCTTCCATTAGTGAAGGGAACCTCCTGATTGCCATCATGGCTTAAACAAGATACTTACATTCTAATTTTTAAAACATCAGCATGCAATTGATAAGTATTTACATTGTTTGGACATGCTATTTCTATTATGGACTTTACTTTGGACACAGTCTTACCATTTTTGTTAGTCCTTTATTGCAAGCTTTGTAAAATACAAAATAAGCACAAGATGATCTAGGGCTGCCTATTAAGGCAAGCCTGATTTAATGTACAATGATAAACAGAACATTTCCTCTTACAGTGGGAGTTCTTTAAGCGATCACAACTATTGGGGGCTGAAGATCTCCCTTTGCATTTTCTTCTGAAGAAAGAGGGGGAGATATGCCCTGTAACAGAATATGTTTAAGTCACTTCCTTCCACGTACATACCCCCTCCCCCCATGCAGGTCCATGTACTATACAAGATGCATTTCTGTATATGAATGGTTTGCAATACATTCCATAAATAACTGTAAAGATTTAAACTCTTGAAACATCCACACACACATACAACCTAGATATTTAGTGTTTTCTTCACAGCAAATATAATATCCTTTACTTGAGGTATGCAGTTCTCCTCCAAAATTTTTGCATAAGGCATAGGAACATCTGCACCTGTGACACGCACAACAGGGGCATCCAAGTGGTTGAAAGCAGGACCTGAAAATTAAAAAAAGATAATTCAACTCTCGGGCAGCCTTGGCTGCACTTCCACTTTGTCTGGTCTGTCCCTACCTGAGAAGTTGCTAGGCAGAGCTGACACGAGAGCAAGAACCCTGGAAGAGCAGCTCCAAACCAAAGCAAATTAAGCTGCAGGTCTTGCTTTTCTGCACGGAGTGGCAGGGGGAGGGAAGAGGAGAAACACTGACAGGAGAGAATATACAACTGAATTCCACTGTATCAGCAGGCTCAGAAAACAAAGGTCATGTACTGGGTTGAAGACCTGTAGAATACCATCCTTATCCTCTGCAGTGCAATAGTTGAACTCCCCATTAGCTTTTGTAAGATGCTAAAGGTGAAGGTGTGAAAGTAACACACTACAAAAAAAAAGCCAACATTTCTTTTTAAGTAGCAGGGCAGCTGCTCCTGGCAACAGGATGAACTTGTGTTATGACAGGCTAAAAATGGCTACTCTTGAAAAGATTCAGAGTAATTTGGCTTCCATTTCCAAATGTAAAGTTACTAAGGTAGGCTTATAATTTTCTTTTGATTTGTGAATTCCTGACAAATTGAGTTGAAGAGTACACATGACAGCCTGCATTACCTTCCATAATCCTGGCGCAGATTTCAGCTCCCACCCCAAACTGTGGCCAGCCACCTTCCACTGTTACGAGATTATTTGTCTTCATAACACTAGTTTCGATGGTTTCAATATCCATTGGTCTAATGGAACGGAGGTTTATCACCTATAGGACAGAGATGAATAATCTTGATTACATTAACTCCAAACTAGTCTAGACAGCAAGCACTGAATCTAGGCTTGCTTCCTAACTCACTCAATGAGCAGAACAAAATTTATGGAACAGGACTTCTCCCTTCCTGAAATTCTGCTAGAAGTTGGAGATGGGGGTGGAGTTGGTGACAATCAACACCCTTCCCACACTAAGCAGCACCTCAATATCCAAGCCCTAGTATGGATGCCATTCTGAGAATCTCTTCCGGGGGGGTGGGGGAGTGCACCAAGTTTTTAGGTCCTTCAGTTTTGAAGCTATGCTTACAATTTTGTAGGTTCCAGAATACAAGTAACTGACAGCTTTAAATGAAAAGGTTTATCAATGAATTCATAGCTCAGAGACAGCCCATGCCTGAGCTGGAAGGAGATTCCAATTTCAATCTATGCCTTGTTCAATTTGAAAGAGGTCTCAGACGACAGAGCTGAGAGAGCTCCTGTCTGACATGTTGCAGAGCTGCCGGCAGTCATTATCTGGCAACCATGAGCACAGAGTGTGATTCAGGCACTTCCTTATGTTCAGTATAAGTGACTGTCAATGCTGTAGCCCTAATTTTAAAAAACTGACATGAATCATAAAGGTCAGAAAATTCTGCTTTCCCCAGGACAGAATTTGGATTCTGTCCCTGCATCTCACTTCTTTCATATTCGTACAAGACCCAGTGAAGTTCAAGCCTGCTGGTGGGACTAAATTGCATCAGCACCAAAAATCTACTGAAGCTAGGGCAGTGGAAGTCAACAGATCACTATGATGCCCAGTTCCACTGTGGTGGGGTAGTTGCTTAAAGAGGTTTCTTCCCTGTGGATTATAATCCCATGATGTGATACATACCTCACACTCCACCCCATCTTTGGCAAGGACAGCAGCTGCTTCCAGACAGTGGCCAACTGGTCGTGAGTGAGACACTAAGGTAATGTGGCTTCCTGAAACACAGAGGCTGGTGAGGATTCCAAAATACAATATGGTTAAATGTAGAATGCCGATCTTTCCCCAAATTCTGAAAATCAGTAGATCATCTAGTAGTCACCACCCTCCATAGAGGATTTTTAAAACTCTTTCACTGAAGATACAGTGACCAGCTCTAAAAGGACGGTAGATGCTTGACTTAGTATTTGTGTCTAGTAATGTCAAAACATTAATTACTCTTATTATTGTCAAGCTTTAGAACTGCAGATATTAAATGTTCTTGTACATCATTAGCTGGTTAAAAGAATTCTTAATAAAGCTTCTAAAAAGAGGGAAGGAGGGTGGGAATGAGAAACATCTATAACATGGAATAAATAACAAACAATGGAATGCTCATTTATCCCCCAAGTCTTGGCTACTGAGCAAAGGAGACTGGGCTTATGATGTCAGGAACTCCCTCCCAGACATAGTTAGCAAAAAAGGGCTTGGCCCACATGTCCCTCAAACAAGTGATAATCTCTCCAAAGGGAACTCAGTTTCTAGGTAGCAAAACCAATTTTCAGACTGTTCACCTTAATGATAAAAAGAAGAGGTTATTTGACTTTGCAGTGTAGAACAGCACTATATATAATTAACGGCACCCAAGCATTTCATCTTGCTTACCTTGCCTTTCTATCTTAGCCTTTCCAATTGGAATAAGGAAGTCCTTTGCCAGGGCTTCCTCAGACAACTCAAAGGGCACCCCATACATCAACTCATTTTCTAGCATCACAACTGCAAAGAAAACAAAAATATTGAACTAGCTCATGTCAATTTCCCATCTGTGGTGAACCATGAGAATTAAGGTTTGTCTTTGATGTTAGTCTTTGATGTTAGTCTTAGAGTGGACCCACCCAAATTAACAGAACTTAAGTTAGACTGACACTGAATGCAATCTCATGGCTACAGCTCTATGTTTGGAATCAAAAACTCTCAGGGCACATACCAAGGAGGTCTCTACTACAGCCCTTTCTGTTTATGAGGGAACACAGTCACCGAATTTATCCAAAATGTACCAATCACAGTTGGAGCACATGCAGAAGCAGCACTACATTTGTACTTAGAGAAGGGGAGAGGGAAAGTAACTAAAGGGTCTTCAGGTAGCTGCAGTTTTACCAAAGCCTGATAAGGCACTTCCTCTTTCTCAACAGCCCACCAACATGCTGAAGTCAGTTTAGCACACACTAATAAAAATACCAAAAGAAATGACAACATAAAAAGGAGACATGATATAATTGGTCTGAAGAGATCCTGTGAGAAGGAAAGGTTGGGGTGAATGTCATGTGAAACCTCAATGATTCAGGCATTACAAAGCCAATAAACATGTCTAGTGTAGACTGCCCCAAGGACAGAAGCCTCCTTACACCAACTTTGATGCTGTACATGTAAACCAAAGCATGCAAGAGATCCAGATAAAGCAGGTAAGGAAGAACTTACACTGGCTCATGGATCCTATGCTGCACCCAGAAAGTTGGATTTGAAGGGCCTGGTACATATAACCCAAAGTCTTATAGAAGCATTAAATAATAGGAATTCTGGAATCTTCAATTACACAGAATGTACAAATTTGCATTACTTAAATGGAAGACAGGAATCTGTGTATGGATTATTCACTTAATACAGCTTAAAACAACATCAAGCTATATTCAGCCATATAACCAGTACAACATGTGACCTTATAAGGCCCTGAACTGATAGCATGAGTGCTTGACTAGTTCAATGGAGGGGGAAGTAAAGAATATAAGGCCATATCTTATTGTTCCTTCAGAAAAGCAAGTAGCTTGTCAAAGTTGAACAGAGCTTCCCATTGGGAAAAAAAGCAAATGTACAAAACTTTTTAAATAAGCAAAGGGTCTAAAATTCTGCAGAATAGACTATACATTGGTTTTGTCAAAACTCTGAGCATTTCAGATTTTATCGGCTTTTGACCCTTGCAGCAACTGGTGGAATGCTTCAAAAGCTCCCAGGCAGCTTGTGGTCAGCTTGGGTCCAAGTCAGAGGACTCAATTAGTAGGTGGGATTCCTTTCTGACCGAGTCTTATAAACCCAACACCCCTCAAGGGCATTGCACTTGCCTGTTTCCTATATGCCAAGTCTCTAGCTAAATCACATCAAGGAGCTTTGCTCCACCATGATCTGCCAAATCCCCCCAACATTCGAATGCTGCTCATCTCTCTCAAAATAATCTCACTATTCTTTTTTAGGCCTACATAATTATAAGCTGGTGGAGATCCATGGAATAATTAGGTTTACAGAAGCAACTTGTACTAAATTAAGATAAGTCTAATCCTCCATTTTCAAACTAGTTTGCCAGGCAATGTGAGAAATATGTTTGGGAGAGGGGGGGATTTGTACGATTATCCTAGCTGGCATGGCTTCTTCCATTATGCAAACCCAGCAAGTGTGGCTTGTTGCTGCAGTTAACAAGCCATCCAGAACTCATGGCTGCTGTAGATCCCCCCGCACCGAAGAAATAAGCCACCATGGTTTATTTCTCCCTCCATGACAACACAAAACAGGCCCAAGGACTTCCTAAGTCTGCAACTCACAATTCCTTCAGCTAAGCAGTAACAGTGGAATGAGTCTTCAAAGGAGCAACTACATGATTTCTGTTTATCATATAGATAGCATTTCAGTCATAAAGGTTCCTAAAGAAATGAACACAGATTTACAATCTTAAAAAATTCAAACCTAATACCAAGTAATTCAAAAGTCTAACTCAACAGCTGCAGAAGAAGACAAAGCAGAGCTTATTCTACATGTGAATCCCTCAACTGATAGCAAAAAGTAACTTTTCCTCTTTCTGTAGGAGATGAACCCCAGCATCTCACACAAACTGAAAACATTAAGCACAGGAGTGATGTCAAAAGTTAGATTTGCAGTATAAAATGCAGTATAAAATGATAAAATGCCACTCTTTAAAGTAGGTGTGAGTCCAAAAGCTAGCATTATGCATACACAGATTTCTTGGCTTGCTCACCTGGATTATCATCCCGAATCGATGCTTTAAGTAGCCCTTTTGCATCCTCTGAACTCCAGGGGCTGACTACCTTCAGTCCAGGGCAATGCCCATACCAGGCCGCAAAACACTGGGAATGCTGGGCTGCTACGCCCGCTGAAGCTCCATTTGGACCCCTGAAGACAATGGGAACAGGCACCAGACCAGATGACATATAGTAGGTTTTGGCAGCTGAGTTTATTATCTGATCAATAGCTTGCATGGAGAAGTTGAAAGTCATGAATTCACAAACAGGTCTTAAACCAGCCTGTTAAAACAAAAGAACTGTGTTACTGTTGTGTGAAGAAATCATATCTTCTGTCCTACTTATCCATTCTTTCCCTCCATTCTTTCCCTGAGTCTATTTTGGATTGTAAACCCCTTGGAATAGGGACCTGCCTTAACTATGTGTAAGGCACCATAAGATAGACATACTTGAGATCCACAGCCATTTCTTAAGTTGTTTTAAAAACTGAATCAATGGCATTTTGCATTTAAAATGCTTTCTGTTTTTGTACATACCATGGCAGCACCCACAGCAATTCCAGTAAAGCCCATCTGTGGGAAAAAAAAAGCAAAACATAATAAATACTACTAGTTAACTAAGTTTCTGTAAAACAACTTTCATGGAAATTGGTGACCATATTGCAGGCAATCATTTAAGATCAAATATTAAACGGGAGGAATTAAAATGTGTTCTGAATTCATACCTCTGATATAGGAGTATCTATTATCCTCTTATCACCATATTTCTTCCAAAGTCCTCTGCTAATCTGTAGATTTTAAAAAGGGGTTAGATTGTTGCTAAACATTTCTCTTTAAATGCTGCACAGATTATGTCTTTCTAAGCCCTGCACCGATATTCTTACCTTGTATGCACCATCATATTGAGCAACTTCTTCCCCAAGCAGAAAAACTCTCTCATCTCTTTCTATTTCCTCATCCAATGCCTGGTTTAAAGCATCACGGACAGTCACCTATTGATAATAAATGTATTTAGATCAAAATCCACAAATGGTTTACTATAGAACAATCTGACTGTAACTATTTATTTATTATTTATTTAGAGAACTTCTATGCCGCCCCGTTCGCCGAAGCCTCGGGGCGGCTCACAATCATAAATAAACAACATAATATAAAACAATATAATCTAACAGTATAACAGTAAAATTTAAGTCGCCCTGGCCAAAGAATAAAATAAATAATATTAACAATTAAAATAACATTTGAATAAAAAGGAGAAACAGTATTTTAATTGGCTTTTGGGTAAGAGCAAGGGCTGTATGCCAGTGGTGGCACCAGTGCTGAGGCAAGAGGCCCTAGGCTGGAGCCAACCCAAGTGGAAAGGGGGCACAGTAGCTGTTGGTGCTCCCACCAAGGGAAACAAAGGCCAAGAGTGGGTAGGCAGACATAAATACACATGTTATAACAGTGGGAAATGAATCAGCAAGGGGAGACAAACCAAGAAGCAGCTGCAGAAGGCCATGACCTGCTGCCCCTCTTGAACCAGGACTTGAATCACTCACTTCAGTCTGCTTCATAGAAGGGCCAGCAGTTCTGGGAAACACACAGCCTATTAGTGGGTGCAGAACTGGCTGAGGTCAAAAGACAAGATGCCTTTCATATACTGAAGCTGACTGGGGTGGCAGTTGAATCCCACTTCAACACTGGAAATGGGATAGCAACTTCCATCACACCTGAGAACACCAAGTTAGTCTAAGAGGTACAGAAGTTGTGTAACATACACAGTCCTATCCTCCAGAAAAGAAATGGCTGGGGAGTTTGGAAGAAACAGCAAAGGGGTCGCCATGTCTATGTCCTGAAGAAGTCACTCAACCTAACAGTATAACCAGTTCTGAATGGGACATGCACTACCCTTTCAGAATTGGTGATTGACTGAAGGGCCTGTTATTGGATTAAGTACTGGATTGCTTAGCCCCTGAACTATCCAGCAATCCTGCTTTGGGTGTTATGCTTGGCATTTTATGAAGTTACTCACAGGCTGCTAAGCAGAAGTGGAAGGCACACTTCAGACAGCATGCCACTTTCTCCCATTTGTCCCTGGCAGGCCATTTATTATGTACGAAGAGGCCCAAGGATTTGTCCAAAGAGCACCTGTCACCCTGTCTCTTCTTTGTAGCCTTTAGAGAAAGATGCCTACCTTTAGAAAAGCACATTACTTCACATAAAATTTCCCAATTAACATTTAACTCTTAAATTGACATAAATCAAAGTAATTCAACGAAATCACTTTTGTTTCCACAACATTGCTTTTTGACATACTTCTGCTCTTGAACTGTCCTGTCATTAAGTTTCAACTGTCCCATCCCAAACCTTCATCCATCAATGAATCTTGTACAACTGATTGCTCCAAACACAGATCTGAGTAGGCTGTACATGACAGCCACAGGACCATTAGCAGGAAATTCTTAAGTGAGACAACTTAATGTTGTTTATTGATCCTTAATATACATTGATATTTTGTACACAATGCTAATAAGGTTACAGGATGGTAAAAAACTGAATCTTCCAACACCTACAATTTACATGTATGTTCATGGAAGAGAAGCACATTACATTCCGATCAGCAGGTAATAATGCAGACTGCAAATGCAATGCTTATGGAGATACACAGCTTTTCTCATCACAATGGGAGAACCCAATTCTCCCATCTTTCTCCCTTCACCAGCCATTCATTTAAAATCTGCACCCGAACAGCTCTACCTCTAGCACAGTACTCCAAAACTCTTAGGTCACACCGACTGCAATCCTGTAGACCATGTCCAGCTGAACCTAATAGGATTTACTTCTGAGAGGGCATAGACAGGATTGTGGTGTTAGATTTCCCACAGTGCAAAAGACAACTGAATCTGTGTATCAGCACTCAGTAACGCTCTGCTAAGCGCTGTACAGCCAAAAACAAAACAAAACACACACACACCCAGAAGCAGGCAGATTCCCCAAACTGTCCAAAGAAAATCAAGATACACACAAAAACCTAAGTCTGGAAGAATAAGGTTGGGAGGGAAAAAAAAAAACCCTGCGACTGGTGGTACCGCTTCTTATTTGAATATCACCAGTCGCAGGACCGACGTCGGGACATGCTCGAAAACAGTAAAATTAGTGCCTCTGAGCGTGTGCAGAGCGTCCTTTTCTGACCTTTAAAAAGCGACGCCGTCAAAGTACACCTGAGAAGGAGGATCTTGCATTTCAAAAGCAAACACCAGGAGGCGGGGCTTCCAAACTCTTGGCCCAAGACGCCTCGGCTCCCAGGTCCAAGAAGTGCCCGACCTCTGCAGGAGCTCCGCGAAATTTCCCCCAAAGACCGTCTCGGTCCCAGCTCCTCCACGGGCCCTCCTACCTGAGCAGCGGCAGGCACAGAGCGGTGGAATCCCCGCTGCGGAGGTCGGAGGAGCCGACCTGCTCCCACCCGCTGCACGCACCGCGCCAGGCCCCGGAGTGGCCCCGCCGCTGCCGCCATCTTAGATCTGCCCTTAACCCGGCCCGCGTCTCAACGTAACCCTTACGCCGCAAGCCCATCCCCGCGCGGCGCTCCACCGTCACCAAGCAACTGGGAGACCGCGCGCGAGCGAGAGCCAGAAGAGGGCGGTTGCTCGCCACTCCCGCGAGATTAGGGCAAGGCGAGATCGGCGATAGTCGCTTAATGCTGCCTTTTGCTTCAGTTCCGCCTAGAGTAGGGAGTATTCGCGGGCGTCGGTGGCTGCAGTCTTGCAGCTTTGTGCAGGAAAAGGCGAGGGTTGAATTAATGGAGTCCTTTGCGGCAATAACGACAAGCTCTCTGGATTCAAAAGCTTCATTTGCGTTGATATTTTTAGCTTTACTGTTCATCTGGCTTTTGTACTTTCGACTTTGCTGACCACTGGAAAAGGGGCTGCTGCTCCCGGGGCGGCACAGTAACAGAGGGGCTTTCTCGGGATCTGAAATCTGCTTCTCGAATATACCTACATCCCACCCAGTTCGTAATAACTGTTAGCAAGAATCAGTGAGCAAGTCCCAGGCGAGGCGGGAGCGAACGTAGCTTCCATGCAGTGCGTGTATAGCTATGGTAGGACAGTCACATAATCAAAAATAGTAGAGCTGGAAGGCCATCGGGTCCAGCCTCCTGCTAGAACAGGAAAACAAGGTACACCATCGCACTCTGATGTGTGTCCAGCTGCATCTTGAATACCTCCAGTGTGAGAGAGGGCACAACCTCCCTAGGTAATTGCTTCCATTGTACTGCTCTAACAGGAAATTTTTCCTTTTATCTAGTCGAACCTAGTGTGAAAACCGAAACAGTTCTGGATAGAACTTGCTTTTTTACAAATCCAATGGAAGCCAGCAATGGAGGGATGCTTGAAAACACTATTTTAGAACTGAAACTTTTATTATTAATCCCCTAACACCAGACTTTCTTCTTGGGGATGAGAAACTGGTAAAAAAAGTTTTATGGGTTTTGTTTTTACAAACGATATGGCATGTACTAAATTGGTGGAGGTAACTTGCTGCCCTCCAGATATTTTGGACTACAGTTCTCATTAACCCCAGCCAGCATGGTCAATGGTTAGGAATGATAAGAGTTGTACTTTAAAACATTCAGGTTGCCTACTCCTTTCTACAAATATTAAGTCATTTTTATCAGTAACAGCAAGAGGTCACAATGACCAGTTGTAATTAATGCAAACACAGGAAAATTCACATGCTGCAAAATATTAGGTGGAAATGATACACTGATACACAGGAATATCTAGGGAATTCATACTCTGTTACCAATTCTGGGAAATACTGATTCCAGAAAAAAATTGACATGGAATGTCAATGCAAAACACCAATAACGAAAAATTTGAGGAGGACGATGCTGGAAGCCTTGACATTTCCATGGGATCTATTTCTTATCTATTCTGGGTTCCAGAAAAAAAAAAGGTCAGAACACCAAGTTCCCATATATTCAATATGTTTTTGCTGCAGGTTCAGAGCATACTGTCACATAATGGCAGCAGTGCAGTCATTTGTTGGAAAATATCTATGTAAGATTATGAAACATTGGTTAAAGAAATTAGGATCATGGATGAGAAAGATCCTTGGAAAACTAAGACAAAAGGACAACTTAATCATCTTGGCTGCATCAGGATCCCTTCTAGTTCGGTATGGTTATACTACAGTTCATACCTCATAACGGGAAAGTAAGGGAAAGCTCCTGACCAAGAAGAATAATTATCTTTCTATGCCTTTAATTTTAAACCTGAACGCTCCCACTTTTGTCAAACGTGCATCAACAACTTCATCAAGGAAATGAAATAGGAAAGTTGCAGCATGGTTCATGCAAATTCAGATGCTATCTATTCATTATTAATACAGCTATATAAGGAGCTTATATCTGCACAAGAAAAAAAATCTGGAATAAAAATGGGTTAGTTGATACTGTCACTGAAGGCTTCCTAATGACTAGGAAATGTATTGTTATGTCATTCTATTCAGTTGAAACAAGTGAAGGTTCTGATCTTCTAAAATTAGAATTGTAGCTTTCAAAGGGGAAGAAAAACACAGTTGAAAATAACATCTTGGACTGTAATTTAAAGGAAGCAGACAAATAGCTGATGACTGATTATTGTCCTAAGAAAGCTCATTAGTACAGCTAACAGTCAATTGCAATCTGCCTATTTATGAGCACAAATAATACTCAAACAGCAAATTTCAATGACATTACAGGAGTAGTTATAAATAGCTAAATATAAACCCACAAAGAGAAATCACAAATACCATTAACTATTTACAGAAGACAGTGTTCCTAGCACCTTAAAACAGGCATGGAAAACCTCAGTCTTGCAAGATCTGTGTGGCTGTTTTTACTATAACCTGCATTTGATTAGGGACTGCAGGTGGCACAGCATTTGATTAAGCAGAGCCAAGCTAACAGTTGTGGTTCAGCAGGCAGGGCAAAGCCCAGTGCAAAATGATGGCTCGTGGTGGAGCCCAACTGCCTGCTGCATGCATTCAGCCATACACTGGGAGGACCTGCACATGCCACTATAAATCTGCATCTGAGTTATTAAAATCAGTGTGGAATGGGTGAGATGTAGCAGCCAATGTTTCAGAGTAGGGCCACAGAAACCCAGGTTCATTCCTGCTATAACCTTGGGCCAGTTATTTTTTCTTAACTTGCAGGACTGTTGTGAAGATAAGCAGGTAGTGAGGAAGAAAAGCTGGATTAAAATGGGTAGGTGGACATGTTTAAGGACTGAGGCCTTTTAGTGCAATCTAGTACATACTCAATTGGAAGCCCCATTAAATTGAATGGAACTTGTTGGATTGCAGCCTCAGATTTAAGACCACAAGCAATTAGCCTGTTGAAAACTGATTAGTGATCCCCTAATACAAGTTTTACATGTTATAGAGTGGACATAGGGAACCTATGACTTTCCAGATGTTGCATGGTATCATCACTGGCTATCAGTCTATAATGGCTGGAGCTGTTAGGTCTTTGAATGCAAAACAACAAAAGTGTTTTTAAATAGTCCTGTATATTCATTTGCATTTATTTATATCCCATCTTTCCTTCCAAGAGGTCAAGATGGAGAATGTGGGGTTTCCAGGTGGCCTCCTATCCAGGCATGGGCCAGACTGAAGAATTTAGAAAGAATAAAATTGTTGCTTTGAACTGCACAGTTTTAGAAACAGGGCTTTTATAGATGGTGGGGTTGCCATCCATGGAGGGGACTGCATAATCACCATTGGGCTAAGGTGAAAATTGGTAACTGAAGCCTAACTGAGCTTTTCAGTTATGAAAATATATCCCACTGAAATACGGAGCAATGTTCCGGCATGCCACCTCAATGATTGCTGTTTGAGTAGCAGAGAAGAAGATAGTCCTGAAACAAAAGATGACACAGTTTGGAAGTTTGGCAGCGTTTCATAATCTGAAATTAGATTTTCTGCATTTTTAACATGAGTTTTGATATGCTGTTTAATTTTCTAGGTAAGGTTTTAGGCAATTCTGTTAAGTAACAACTTGCTAATTTAAAGGAATGACCCTTTGGCCCCAAGACATTTTCTGAGGGGCCATAGGATAGTTCAGATTTCCAGTTCTAAGACTGGAGACTGAGTTCTAACCCTGGTGTTGGGAACTGGAGCTCCAATACATCTACCCCTATTCTCTTGCAGCCAGCATAGAAAGAACTGTGGAAAGCAGTTCCTTAAAGGGGACATTTTGGGAGGGAAAGGAAGTGACTGGAGTGGGTAGGATGTGAGATACCCTGAAGCCACTCTGTCATCCTTCCCTTCCACTCCCAAATGATGTCATTAAATAGCTGGAAATGGCCATGTTACAAAAAAGCAGAGCAAGAGGAGTGGGGAAGTAAAGGTTACCAGCACTGCACTGGATAAGTGTGAACCTCCAAGGGTTGTATGCTTCGCTTCATCAGATTACACTTAAAGTACTTCTACATAATTTCTTCTCATAAGATCACCATTTTCAGCAATAGCCATGACTGGGAGTAAGGAAAATATTGGTTTTCTTTCTCTCAGGAATTTTGATCTCTGTTCATTTGCTTGGCCATTCTTCGTATTTGTTTCAGTTCTAGAATTTAAAACCACTGCGGCCAGCACAGAAGAACAACATATGAAAATTTTCCACCCAGCTACATATTTGGAGAACAGAAACCCATGAATTTGTTGGGATTATATACTATACCATAGCAAAATAGTAACATATACATGTCTGTATCTCCTGCATAACCATATCCTTATTCAGGCAATGTGGCTGGATTTGTGATGGCACAGTGTGTATGCTCCAGTGTATCTGCATGCTAGCCCCACCCTCCTTATGGTTGTATGTTCTCAGTGAAGGTCTGAAGGTGGACTATAAATTGCGTTTAATGAACACGTGAATGTTGGGACTTGAGGGGGCAGAACCAACTCATTGGGGTCAGCACAGACATGTGCCTCCAGCAACCTGCCTTGGTCTGTGTAAGGACATTGCATCTTGAGGAACTAACTTGGCAGCCTCCTACCAGCCACTGGATTAAGCCATATTATTCATTTAAAATACTGCTAACCCTTCTTTTTAGACTATCAGAGACCTATATAAGAGCCATAAAGATAAACATATGGAAAATATGATAGAATGGCATTATAAAACAAAGTAAAAGCTTTGTTTTTATAAAAACATCAGAGTAAATTTCACAAACTCGTATAATTTAAAAGCCAGCACTGAAATGATAGTTATGAGATGGTATTCCTGAGAACTATGTAGAGTTTCAGAATCAAAGAGTTAGCAAGGACCTTGGAGTTCTAGTTCAACGCCCTGCTCAATGCTATTGTTCAGCTGTAGCTTCCCTGACAGATGGCCATCCAGGCTCTGCTTAAATACCTTCAGGAAAGAAGAACCCACCAGCCCTCAGGGCAATCTGTTCCACTGCTGAAATGTCTCCTGTTAAGCTGAAATCTGCTTCCCTAAATTTTCCACCCACTGGTTGTGGACCTGCTCTTGGAAAGACACAGAGTAAACCACCTCCACTCTCTGCAGAACCTTTCAGATATTTGAAAACTGCTATCATGTCTGTCCTTAAATCTTTTTTGTCAACAAGCTAAACATATCCAACTTTCAACAGTTCTTTGCAGGACTTAGTTTCCAGACCCCTCACAATGCTAGGAGTTGTCTGGAGGTGTTGCAGTGCTATTGGAATATATAGCACTCCTGTTCCGGGTACTTCATTCGGTTTCCTGCCTCACCCTAGTTTTATTCCCCCACTCTCACAAACAATCACAGAACAGTGTCTTTTGTCCTTATTGGGCTGTTATGGGGAGCCCTTCCTTAAGCTTTCGTACAGCCTGAAGTGCCTGAACCTGCCTAATCTTGGAAGCTAAACAGGGTTGGGCTGAGTTGAAATCTGGATGGGTAATTTTAGTCTTGCATTGAGAGGCGGTTGGAACTGATGGCTTGCTAGGTTCCTTCCAACTGTATGCCTGTATGTTTATTTTTAATACTTTTTTAAACTTTAGGGTTCCTTGAAGTCCGCCGATGCCTCCTTGTACACCAATGGTGGAAGCACTCAGGAGACTGCTACCACTGCATGATTGCATATATACTTAGGGTGCAATCCTATGCATGTTGAGAGAGAGAGAAACGTCTTATAACTCTCAGCATTTCCCAGCCAGTCATGCTAGCTGCGGAACGGTGGGAATTGTTAAGACTTTGTTTCCTCTCTAACCATGCATAGCACCGCGCTCTTAGGCATGTGCATTGTTTGAAACGCCGCCCTGAAAGGCATCGGCCGGGTCACCAATTGTAATAAGCAACACTCTAAAGCTGCAACGGAGAATGTCCACCCTTTAGCCTGTGATGAATGAATTCGATCAATGACAGAGCCTGATCGAGGCTTTCAAACAAGCTACATGGCCTCTCCATCAGCCTGAGGGGCAGGGGAGGAAATAGCTGTTGAAATAGGCGGACTGTACTTCGAGTTCGAGTCTTTAGCCAGTTTTAGGCTCCTGCTTTTTACCGTTCAGCCAAGGCGGCAATCCTATATACAGGCTTCCCTTACCTGGAAGTAAATCCCATTGAAATCGATGGAGCTTACTTCCGAAGAAGCCTGCTTAGGGCACGAACGCGCTTCACCTTTTTGGCATTCGCAAACAAGGGAAGTTTTTCACTAGTCTTTGCTCGGTTGCCAAGGATTAGGCGGCGTCAAGAACCCGCTCCAGCTTAGGCCTTGCAAGAGCCGGGCGCGCAATTCCCGGGCTCTCCCTCCGCCGCCGAGAAGCTCCCTGGCCCGCTCCTCTTCTCTCCCTTCGGCGCAGCCCGCCTGGGCCTATCGGAGCAGGGCAGGCGCTGGGGGCGGCGCTGGGGAGGAGCCGGAGACGCGTCGGATTCACGCTCGGTTGTCTCTGCCACTCCGCCGCCGGCCTTTCCTCAGCCCAAGAGTAGCAAAGAGAGAGCGGCGGAGAAAGGGACGCGCGCACGGAGGAGCTTCCCCGTCTGTTCTCGAGTGAGTAGCAGAGGTGGGGACTTAAAATGGCGGGAAAGGGGGCCAAGCTAGGTGGTCTCCTCCGAGCCTGTCAAACGGAGGATGCTAAGCAGGGTGTGTGTGTGTGTGTACTTAGGGCGCCTGGATTCCTTAAGGGGAAGGTGGGGTTAAGAGAGAGGTGGGAGACCCAGAGCGCCTGGGTTCTTTTAAGGAGCCCGCCCGATCCAGAGGGAAGCAGGACGCCTGGGTTCTTCTGAGGGAGGAATGGGATGCAGTGAACAGAGTGTGCAGGCGGGATACCTGGCTCCTTTTCTGGAGAAGGGTGTGTGTGTGTGTGTGTGTGTCGGGGCGGGGGGTGCAGTCAGGAAGCCTGGATTCTTTCTCACCGTGTTTAAAGGATTTTAGAGCAATGCGTACTGGGTTTCGTTTTCTGTTTGTTTTATTTTAGTAAGGGGGACTTGTGTGAGGACATACTCTCCACCATTTAACAGTTCTTAGCTGCCTCAGTAGCATCAGATATTGGGTCATTCCTAGGGCTGGTAATGCTACTCTCCACTATTTCTAATGGCTAATATGAGAATATTTATCCATGCTAATGAATATATGGCATGGAGTCTGAACACTGGACTATTTTTGTATTAGCATGTGACTGTCACTAAGACTGCATTTCTAAGCTTACTTACCTGGTAATAAGTCCCACTGAACAAACATTACTTTTGAGCAACCCTGCTTGGAACTAGGGTGGCATAGACCTAAAGTTTGTTTTGTGTGTGTGTGTGTGTTTCCAAATGATAATTACCAGAATACCTGCATTCATTCATAAATGAGTTGCCATAAGTGAGTTGCCACAATGCTTGGCTCTTTTTCTTTGGTGAGGATTTGTCTGTAGGAAGCCAGAATTCATGACATCCTAGAGATGCAGTTGGGACCTCTGGTGTGAGGGAAGGGTCTGTAGAATAAACAGTGTGTATGCTTTTCTCCTTCTCAAATCCAGTTGGCTGGTGCAGTCTGCTGTTCTCAGTGCTGTCATAGGGATTTTCTCAAGGTAGTGCAATTGGGAAACGGGTGTGAAGGGGACCCTTGTTTGGGTTGGAAAGTGGTGGAGATTTTAATAGAGTTAATCACTTGGCCTTCTATTCCTTCTACCAAAATGTGCCTTAAACATTTCATCCTTGCAGATAAGCCACCAAGATCCAATGCAGCAAATAGTCATATGAATATCTCACTTTCTGTTCTGTAATCTTGTTCTGCTCTTCAATTGATTGTGTACACATTGATAAGGGCAGTACCTGTTTAATATGATTTGATCATGAACCTTACATCAGTAATCAAGTTACTGTGCTTTAAACTACATTGGATTTCTGAGCAGAAGTCCAAATCAAGTCAGAACCAGTTGACCTGCTTTTTGCATGGAAATAGACTTCTACGAGGGGTTGTACTGTAGTAAAAGACAACTTCAACAAGAGACATTTCAAGATACTTTAATGCCTGTGCCAGAATCTCCAAATAGGATCCAATATGGAGGTAAAAATCTTTAAAAAACTAAGTAATTGAAAATTTGCTACCCAAAACCTACTGGCTGAGTAGGATTGATTCACTCTGCCTAATAGCAGAGCTGGCCTTTGCTTTCAAGCGGTAGGGCAATACGGTGATTATTTCACAGCATATTCCATGCCTATGAACTAGGATGGTATTTTGTATCCTGGAGCATAGTCGTATGCACATTGTTATTGGATACTTTTATAAGAAGTTTCTATCCTATTTGTGCCTTTCAATTAGGATGGAAGAGATCTGAAAGGAAAAAGTGCATGGGTGGAGTTGCTAATCAATCACTCCATCAGGGTTGCTTTGCATTAGGTAGTGGCTTGACAGTCAGTAGTGAAGTAGCTGCATAGTAGGGTCACCATAATCTGTTGCATAACGGTCTGTGGTGAAATTTGCAATGAAACAGAAGCTTGCCTGGAATAAGTAGGTTAACAGCCCCAGGGAGAAATCCCCAGGAACAACCTGGTCATGGCTGTCTGTCAGCAGATGGGCCACTTTCCTGGTCCCCATGGAATGGGTTATGAACTGGGTCCTATGCCTGTGTGTGAACAAAGGAAGAGACAAAGCAATGACCAGCAGCTCATCAGTAGCTAGAACAGACAGATCCTGGATCTGATTGCAGAGTAGGTGTTTGTGAAAGAACATGAGGAAAGGAGCTTTGCCATCTCAGTGTTCATGTGTCACTTTCATACAGGAAGATGGCAGTGACTGTTCTTCCCCCTTCTGCTTTGGTGGTTGCAATAGAACTCTGTGTGGTGACAGCATGTACTGTTCAGTGCATCTAGGTTATGATTCTACAGGGCAGAAGTGCCCTTGAATGTTTGGCTTGCAGTGGCAATGATTGTAGTGAAGGACCTGCTGAGAGAGAACTTAGTTGCCTGTGGGGATGGTGCAGGTGTTATTACTGCTGAGTATTAATGAAAAGAGTGTTAGAACAAGGTGGTTGAGACAGGGCACAGTATTCACCTATAGCAAAGAGGAGGGAGGTTGGGAAGCATGGGAGATAGTCACAGCATCAGTATATTTGTAACTAATGTTGCCCTTTCCATTGCTTTTTGTGGTGCTTTCTTCTCATGTCCCCAGTTGTTGGGCATCTGTGTCTGGAATCCTACAGTGAGGTACTTATTACAGTTCTATGTAAACAAGTGTTACCAATGATACTGTACGTTCCTAGGAGTATTCTGGGGATCAACTGTTTTGTGCAAGGTGCTTCCTTTTGTGTAAGTTGCTTCCTATTTCCTCTCCCCAGAGCTGAGAGGAACAGTTGCACAGGCCCAAGTGTGTGCATCCTGAGACCAGAGAGAGAGAACCATCTCCTACCCACTAAGTGGTGTTTTTCATGAGTAGAATTTCTGTATTGGTGTACTGTGATTTAATGCTAACTTGCATGTTATCCTTTGCTTTATTTTAGTGACAAGAGCAAGGCATTTGGCATGATGGTGATTCTCTTGACCCCCCCACTCCTGATTGAACTCAATCTGAGATGGAGTTTTTTGTATCTGGAGCTGTGCAGGGCATAGCATAAGGGTCCTCTACTCCTGTGCTGTGTATGGACTATCCACAACTGTCCCATGTTAATTTCCTAACAGTGTATCTTTGCTGACAAAATATCTGTGCATTGTTGCACACTCCTGTTTACATTAGCATGCATGCATGTACAATGACCAGCACAGATCTAAGGAGGCCTTTGACCAGAAGTGTGGTCTGTGCACAATGTATTTATGCCCTGTGCTGTTATGAAGAGGAGTACACCCACCTCTGTGTATTTTCTTTACAAAAGTGAAAAATGGCTTGGTTAATATGCCAACCCCGTGGTATATTAGCCTGTATACTGGCTCTAATAGACTAATTAGAAAATATCAAATATGAAGACTGGGGATATTAGCATTTGGCAAATAAGAATGGTGGGCGGCACAGTGGAAATTGAAGAGTAAGGGGACTGAGAGATTCTGTGACCAAAGAAGCCTGGGTATTGGTTGAACACAGTGGGCACCAACCATCCTTTCTTATCTCAGCTTTAGTTTCAAGTTTAAAAATGGGACATAAGTATTAATCTGCTTAAGGCACTCTTTCCTGTTGTCCAGAAAGAGGCGAACGGATGGCTTTTGGATGAGCAAAGATGAGGATACTGGCTGGAGGCGAAGCACTCATTAGGATCCTAGAGCTGCCACAATCTCACTAGGGCTTTCCCTTAGAATTTCCAGTACGATTCAGAGATTGCTGCTGCCTGTTGTTGCTGCTGTTATTTATTCTGTTTCAGTACCACCCCATAGCTGAAGCTGTCTGGGTGATTGGCTATCTCCTTTGGACTCAAAAACTGATAATTAATTCAGATGTTACAAAGTGCCTTTGTGGCACTGTAGGTCAAATAGTGTGTGTGGATCCTGGCTTTGGGACTCCGCTGATGCTTAACCAAGGCGCTCTCTCTCTGGGTCTGCAAGCTAACAGATCTCTCTGGGCAAACAGCAATTTAAAAAGTACAAGGGAAACTCTGGGCCTGAAGTCATAGAAAAGGCACCAGAGTAGAACAGAGTTATGCTAGGGAAGAATCAGGAGGTATTACATTAAACCCAGTCAGACCCTGGGCCTTTTTCGGAATAGAGATATACCAATTTCAGGGAAGCTCAAGCAGAAAGAATGAAAATGGCTGAACTCCAAGGCAACTTAAAGGGAGCAATAGTTTGGTTCAAGGGAAGCTTCTTGTTAGGTGCTATCAAGTTGTCTCCAACTTATGTGACCCTCTGAATGAAAGCCCTCTAAAATGCCTTGTCCATGACCACTCTATTTGGCTCTTCCAAGTTCAAGGCTGTGGCTTCCTTTATGGATTCAGTCCATCACATACTTCATCTTCTGCCTTCAACTTTCCCTTACATGATGGTCTTCTCCAGTGAGTCTTGCTTTCTCATGATACAGCCTAAGTATGACAGCCTCGGTTTTGTTATTTTTGCTTCTAGGAAAGCTCTGGCTTGATTGATCTCGGACCTACTTGTCTGTCTTTCTGTCCATCCAGGGTATTTGCAAAGCTCTTCTCCTACACCATGTTTTGAATGCCTCTTGATTAATTTACAGGCAGCTTAATGTAACATTTAAAGCAAAAAGTATTGTCAAGGTAGGGCTTGACATTGCTGACCTGCCTGGGAGGAGGAAGTATTTAAGAATCAAATTATTGCTTCTCCTTTCTCCCTTTAGGGGCATTTGATTGGTTAGGTCAAATCCTGGATTTGGACTACTCCTGGATTAGTAGGCTGGGTGGTGGCATGGCAACAAGGCAAGCATGTGCATGTTTCAAATAACCCTTTTTAATCAAGGGGAGGAAGGATATATTCTATGGCTCCTGTGCTTCTACAGTGGTTCAGAGTTTTACCAACTTTCCTAGCAGCTTTTCAGGCTGTACCTTCCAGAAGAAAAATGGATTCTTGACCCGAGATAGTGGGATAGTCTGAATTAAATTCATAATGCCCAACAGTGTGTCTGAG